ACACACACACACACACACACACACACACACACACACACAAGGTTTTTTGTTGCTATTGTTGTTTCTGTTACCAGGGTTTGAAAATAGAACCTCATGCATACTGTTTAAGCACTCTGCCATTGATCTATATATCACACTGGTTACACAATAACTTTACTTTTTTTTTTTTTTAATGTCAATACTTAAATTTCCAGGCTAAACAGGTCATTGCATGGATGTTGGGACATATGTGATGTAAGAATGCCTCTACAGTAATTTCTATTTTAAAGCCAATTCTCATTGAAATATGTGTGACATGAAAAGGTGTCATTTACAAACATATATATTATTAAAAGTTTATAATTCCCCTGGAGTTCAATGCTGTACTTTAGGCTGATTATATTCATCTCTCTCAAATAGTCTGAGAAAGATAGCTTTGATGAGTTCCCCAAATTTCTTACATCCACCATTTTCCAAACCATTTTGTGACTATTTGTGTATTCAGTGTCCCACCCTAGAATGCAAGTGTATAGGCTCAGGATCCATATCCCCCTTGCCCTCATTGGACTACCTCTACTACCTATCCCTGTGCTCAGCAAACAGTAGGCATTCAGTAGATATTGGCCAAGTCACTGTCATACCCCAGAAGACGGAGTGTTTGTTTCTATCTGAGGTATGGATGTGAGGCCAAGGAGTCCAGAAAACATTTTACAGAGAAAATAATGCTTCAGCTCGCTGTTAAGAGGTAAGGAGAATTTGCTAAGTAGGCAGAATAAGAAAGTGATTTTCTTTCTTTTTTTTAATTTTTTTATTTTTTATGTGTATGAATGTTAAGCCTGCATGTAGGTAAGAGCACTCGTGTTGTGCAATGCCCACGGAGGACAGAAGAGGCTGTCGGAGCCCCTGGAACTGAAGTTACAGACAGTTGTTAGCTGCCATGTGGGTGCTGGGATTCAAACTCGGGTCTTCTGCAAGAGCAGTCAGTGTTCTTAACCACTGAGCCATCTCTCCAGCCTCTGAGAAAGAGATTTTCAGGGAAGGAATAGACTATTAACAGTAGAAAGGTAAAGGAAAATAAAAATGTGCATTAAGAAGAATTGAATACAAATTGTGCACTATAAAATGAGCTGTGACCCCTGTGGTTGGGGGGGATATGTGATATGCATTTAACTGATCATACACAAATGGAACCCCAGTGCAGTTATGTGAGTAGTTATCCTCTTAAGCAGAGCTGGCCAATAGAAACATAAAGTGATCCATAAATGTAAGCTGCACGTGTAATTTTAAAATTTGTAGTGGCCACATCTTATAAGTGCAAAGAAACAGTGTTCATTTGAATTACATACTTTGGATAATCCAATATATTCAAAATATAAGATATTCTACATTCTTTCCTCTTCTAAAAAACAGGGTCTAGCTATGTAGCTCTGGCTGGCTTGGGACTCACTATATTACAACAAGAATAGGCTGGACTTGAACTTGCAGCAATCCTCCTGCCTCTGTCTTTCAAATGTTTGGATTATAGGTGTATGCTACCATGCCCAGCTCTTTTATTCTTTTGAACACTACGTCTTCAAAATCCAGTGCCTTTCACACCCATAACACGTCTGCATTTGTTCTAGTGTCTGAGTGTTTAGCAGCCACATGTTGCCATTCACTCCCATATCACCTGCTACAGGTCTAGACAAGGTAGAGATTGTAGGAAGTCTTTAATGGTATAAATAAATTTTTCTTAATATGAAAATCTAAATCTTTTTAAGGATAAGATTTTGTCAATTACTAGTGCTTAGACTATGTTATAAAGTCCACTTTGGTATGTTAAGGCTTTTGCATTAATTAGAGAATTAGCAAAGAAAATACTATAAATTTTGGGTTGAATAAGCATTGGAAAAACCTTCCTTAGGACATGACACTCCCTCTGTGGAAGCCTGGGGAATTTCTTTGAAATTCATCCATGTCCACTTACTTGTGGACTTCAGAATCCATCCCAACCTTTGTCTGAAGCAGTCACTATCCCAAGCTGCAGCAGTGGATGTGCGGCAGCTCACTGAATACTAGAAAAGGTCTCAAGAACTGAAATGAAGATATTTAGACATGCTGGCTGCAGGTTACAGTGGAGTTTTCCCTGATGAGACTGGAATACTTGTTCTTTCTGAGGGACTCCAATTCCAAGGTCTGCCAAAACCAGGACACTCCATTTCTACACTAGAATGGATCCTGAAAACTTAATCCAAAAGACACACAAGTCTGAAAATAATTATATCTGAGGAGCTGAAAGTGAGCACAAAAAGGGCAGATAATTTAATGAAATGTCCATGATGCCATCTCATTCCTTCCCGAATAAAGAAATACATGTAGTAATTTAGGAATCCAGCAACCAAGAATTCCCAATGAAGCAAGGAAAGTCTGTCCATTTTGATGATACATCAGTTTAATATGTCTAAACAATTGAAGTAAATATTGCACAAAGATTTCTTTACAGGATTCTACAAACATACAGTGAATCCATAATGTGAAACATGATTCAATTTGATAAAAACAT